GTGAATAATTCATTTTAGGAACAGGTTTAAGTCCAGCTTCAGAGACTGTGATTTTCACACAAAGCACCAAAAATATGTTAGGCAGATTTTATTTATATGGCAATCTAATTTTTGAAAGCTATTTATTCTCTCCCATTGTAGCCATTTTTGGCTGAACTTTTTGTCCCATTCTGGTCAGACTCATCTAGCCAGATTAGGATTAAATGGAGCACAGCAGYGGTCCCACAGGAGAATCCACTCACTCATTAATTAGGCACAGCAATATAATTAAAAACTCCTGCTGCTTTTTAGAGTTGAATCAAAGCAGAAGACAACATTTTTAAAATTTTGCTTTATGCTTCTTCCTTTGATAGCTTTTCAAAACCATTGCACAACGTCAGCAGAATGAGCATTCCCCCTTTGTCAKCCAGCTGGGAGCTCGGAGAACAGCGTATCTATGGGACTGCACTGGGAATCCAAGCTTTAAAACATTGTGACCAAACAGAGCTCCATCCACTGGCCCAACCAACCCTACTGTTAAACATCCTGTCAGTCATCACAAAAAATATGTCATAAGCAAGAAAGTCACACCTGAGCAATAAATGGCCACCTCAGGCTTTTATGGTACTACTGGCAGTCATTTGCCAGCATCTGGCCKGGCAATCCTTCACAGTACAGCACTTGCTTTGACTAATACAAATCACTTGTACACAAGGGCAGCAGAAACAAGCCCACAGCAACTAATTCATCAAATCTTAAAGAAAAATTAACAGAGGAAAATGTAGATCTGAATGTCAAAGTACTATTCCAGTAACTGCACTTACACTGTCAGCCTGTGTGCAGAAAGAGAGACCAACAATTGCTGTTTTCTTGGCAAATCTGAATGTGACCAGAGAGCTGATCTGCCCTTCTGYCCAATTGTTCTGGTAAGTTGAGAGGCAACAATTGATTTTTATGAAAAAATATTAAGAAAATCCATGACACCACACTCAGAGAATCACAATGGATTTGACAACTCTTCTCTCAATGCTCAATAATTTTGTCTCAAGGTGGAAAGTCACATCAGCATGACAGTAAATTGTTTCTGTGCATGGTTCTGACTGGTAACTAAATAAAGTAAGATAGACAATGCCTGATTGACATAGCTTTTCCATTATAGTATCTCCGGGAATGCTACAAAACATACATGAGTGTCCCCAACAACAYGAGGGCTAAGAGAACTGTAATAGATAGCCAGATTTGTAAATCCTTGGGATACCAGATGACTTATGCATTATATTACAATAAATTGCCTCTGAAATTGTGGCATGCTGCTTCAGGGAACGAACACTTCAGTGTCCTCCCAGGAACAGAACTTTTGTTATTCTAAATTGCTCTAATTAGCTCYCTTCAGAGCCCTGTGGCTATAGCTATTAGATTTCCAACACAGTGACAACATTCTCCAGGCAACAAGATGGTTACAAAATACACCCTTCAAACTAGTAAGCAAAAGGCYATGGGAACTCAAAAGTACTCTTTATAATCAGAGCAAGATGTATGAATCTGTATTTACAGCCTAAGGAGAAACYAGGCAGAATATAAGTATTATACATTCACTCTTGGGAGAGTTTTCTCAAAATGTTTACATTAAAAATTATAAATTCTCAATGTACAGATTAACTATTTTAGTCGTCCTCTAATTAAAAGCAAATAAGGTAGTCTCCCTACATATACACATCCCAACCTGCATTTCAGGATTAAAGTACTGATTTAATCTTTATTGTCCTCTGAAATGGACCCAGGGTGTATCTGATCCTCAGTCTCAATAACTCTTATAGAAAAAAAAATTGCTATTATTTTATGCACAAGGATCTGTCCCTTAATTTTCCACTAGACATCTTCCCACAATGGGCTATGGAATACGGTGGCTGTGTGCTCTGATCTGTGATCTCTTCTAAAGGGCACAGGAATTAATGTTTGTCTTCACGGCTGTATCATTCAGTAACAGTCTTACAGCTACATCAATATTTTTTAATTTGATTTAGGTATTTCCCAGTAACTGGCCTGAAAGGTCACTGTTAGAATATTTACAGGGATATTTTTGGTGGTTTCCTCCTTCCCCCWCCCCCCAAGCTTGCTCTCACCACAGCTCAATATTTGGTTCTGGCTGGGATATAACCTTTGATTGGAGAAGATAYGATAGCCTTTACCTTCAAAACATTAATAATAAAGTTCATATCTGAAACACAAATGTAATGACATTCTGTTTGCTGCTTGAATATCAATAAAGTACATCTTAGCATTAGGAGACAGAACTAGGYTTGGGGTTCTTTTTAGAGAAATAGAAATGCCTTAATTTTTCATTTAAGTTTTCAAGCACATATCTTACATTTGTGGCATTTTTCATCTTGAAGGATTATAGGTTTCTTTACTGCAAGTGCAATATTAATAATAGAAAAGAGACTTATTKAGTTGATGTTTTGAATTTTCAAAATATCACAGAAATTCCCTCATGCTCACTACACAACTTCCTTGTAAGGCGCTGAAAGATTACTGCCCTTAATTGTGGTTGTAGAAATGTAGAAATGAGGTTAMGTAACTGTATAAGTAACTGTACAAGACCACGAAGTTAATCACTAGAGGAAGTGGGAATGATATCCAGACTACTTGATTCTATCACTAGCTAACAGAAATTAGAGGTTAGAGTMACTTTTAAACCACAGGTTGAAAAGTAGCAGCTGTTTCACAGAATCRYGGAATGYTCTGAGTTGGAAGGGACCCACATGAATCACTGAGTCCAACTCTTGAATGAATGGCCTAAACAGGAGTGATGACTGATGATTTAGAATTCAGAATGAGCATTAGTTATTCATATTTCATATTCAAACCCAGTATTTATGTGAAGAACCAAAGATTGTTTGATATGGAGAAGACTGGATAAAAAAAAAAAAACAAAACTATGCCTGTTCCTGAACACTATGACTGCTAACCAGGTCCAGTAACAGATGCTGACTACTCGGTAGCTGACTTTACATCCAATTCATGAGCCAGCACTGCAATGAAACCAGAATAGCCTGCAATAGCCTGAGTCAAAACAAGGCATGAAAAAGTCTTGGGTTTTTTTGGTCAAAGTGGGATAGTACTTACAGCCAACATCAGCCATGATGCAAACAAGCTCCAGTAAACTTGCATGTTCTTCTGAAGCTGCAGATGTTGTTTAGTCTTGACCATCAGCATCTAAGTCAGCTGCAGGTTTTCCGTGACAGTTGATCAGCTTACAGGACCCACAGCAAAATGCATTTTCACTGTGAGTTATCTTGAAAGGTTACTTGTAGAAGGCCTGTGAAATGTCATTTGGGGTAAATGGCTTCTAAAGAAGAATGTTACTGTTCCAGACATCTTAAGTCTAATATATATCCTCAGCTATTGAGGATGCTGGTAGTGGCTTCTTCTCAACCTTTTGTTATCAATTCTGTAATTTTGTTATCAATCCTTAATCAAGCATAACTTCCACAGATGGTGGGCAGCAGACAGATGGAGACAAGGTGAAACAGGAATCTACCGGCTGAAGATGCTGGGGAAAACAACAAATGAGACAGACAGACTGCATGTCTAGGTTTTGTAAAGAATAATCTTTACAGGAAACATTTTAAAAGGCTCAGACCTAAAAATTCAATTGTTTTTTCTGTCTCATTTCTTCACGGCTTTCTGTGGGCATCATCCTTTATGACTGTTCTTGGTTTTCTCCTTGTTCTGTCTGATTCTTTCTCAGCATTATATTAAAAAATTTCCTCAATTATTTCTCTCAGTATTTCTAAGGATGAAGCTTGAAATCTGTGGGTCATCAGCTTTCTGGAAAGCAGATACTGACCACACTGCAGCCACTCCACGTGGACAGGACATGGCACACACATCCTTCCTCATTACTGTGTTCTATATAGGCAAGCCATGGGTCTGTACCAGTGTCAMATCAGAGAAAAGCCATCAGCAAAATAAGACTCAATGGGATCTAAAGTTGTCATGGGATGAGGCCACTGTCCTCATAACATTTATCCTGTGTTCCATGACACAGCCCATCCCCRGCAAACCAATCTGCCAAATAAACGCCAATGCTGGAACCTTGGTGTGCTCTGCCAAAGTTCCATCGTACTGAGCAAGGGYCTGCAGGACTCTCCTGCACCAAGCCAAAAATGTCTCCTCCATTCGCTTTTTTAGTAATGCTTTTTCACTTGAATATAACATTTACTAAATTTGCATTATGGAATTTGCATCTTCTTCAGATTTCATTAGGAGAGTTCACAAATGCATGCAGGAATCAGGCTAACAGCTGGTGTTCAGACATCTTGCATAATCTAGCACTCTCTGCAGAGCTGTACAATAAGTATGTGACCTCGTTGTTTTTTTCCTCCCCTTTAACAGGATATTGACCAAGCAATCGACAAACTGCCCAAGTTCAGATATCCCCGTATCACCACGCAGGGCAGCCTCCAGTTACACGGGGCACTTGGACAAACAGCTTGCACAAGCAGGTGGCCAAATCTGGAACTAGTGGATTAGCAACGTTATCCCATTTAATGAAAGCTCAAGATTTAATCAAATKAAATAATTGTCCAGCAAGAGCGTACACAGCAGTTTACAGCGAGCATGTGCGGGCACAGGATGGAAACCCGTGTGTAAAGTTTGCAAACTGCTGAAGAGTGCTACAGGGTGCTATTGGCAATGGGGTTATCCAGCACTTAAAATGAGTTGAAATCTTCAAACTTTTCCCGTCTCAGCTCGAATAGGAACGATGCCGACCACGCGAGCAACGCCAAGACACTTCCGACCGCCGCCCTCCCCCTCACCGGACAAAATGGCCGCCCGGCACGCGCCCCGCCCGCGGCCCCGCCCGCCGCGCGTCACTGAGGGGCGAGGCGCGCGCGCCCCTGGGAGCGCTCCGCCGCGCCCCGGAATAGCCGCCCGCTCGGCCTGAGGCGGYGCGTCCGCCCCGCTGATTGGCTGCCGGCCGCGTCACTCCAGGCCCGCCCGCTCGCTGATTGGCCGAGGCCGGGGGGCGGGCCGAGGCGGCCGGCGGGCAGGAGAGCGCCATGGCGGCCGTGGCCCAGTGCGTGCGGGGTGCGCTGCGCCCGCGCCTCCCGCTGCTGAGCGTCGCGCTGAGGTGAGGGGGTAGCGCCGCGCCGCCCGCCCGACACCGGACATTCGGGCCGGGGCCGCGCTCACCGCCGGACCGGGAGAAGAGCGAGGCTCGGCCCTGCCGCGTGAGGGTCCCAAGYCCCGGGGARCCCCGTCCGAMAGCCGGGACGGGCCGGGGCCGYCCCCCATCCCCCWSCGCTCTTCGTTGCTTTCCCTTGCTCTTCCCCTGGGGAGCGGCCCAGTCCCTCAGCTTGGAGGGCTCCAGGCCTGGAGTGTCCATGCGGCGGGCGGGGATTCGAGCTCTGGTGTTAGYGCGGCGGTGATCCCGCAGCCTTGTCCGGGTGGTTCGGCTCAGCTCGCTCAGCCTTGGAAACGTCAGGAAGGGATGAAGAGTCATTATTTATGCAGGCAGGCTCTTGCTTGCCGCGGTGTTTGCCATACAGCAAGGACGGGCTGCGTGGGGGGCGCCGCTCCTGTGGCCAAGCCCTGTTCTGTGGGTGTTTTCTGGACGGCTGTTGCCGGCGATTGCATCACGGAATTTGCCTCCTGATAGAGCACTGGGCTGAAAACGAGCTCATASTGCCTTAGAAGTGCTGTGACTCTACAAACTGCATGTTACGGACACTTAMAAACTGATGTCTTGCCGCAGTTATTTTCTGCTACGGTTTAAATGGACGAAGATSTGTYGCYTCTTACGGAGGGTTCTGCACACAGTATTCATAGGCCTAGAATTGTATGAATTCGTGCTTTGATGTGAGAATTTTGTGGACACTATATATCAAAGTGTCTGGTATGTTTAAAAAATGCTAATATCTTGCAAGATAAGCAACAGAATAATACTGTCCAATATTTTACAAAATAGCATAATAATATTATCCATATTTTTGCCTTAGAACATCTCCACGACTGCTTTGTGCAGCAACACAGCAGAAGAATACTGGCCAGAACTTGGAAGAGGACCAGAGTCAGAGCCAAAATGAGCAGAAAGTTGAACCCACCTCTGCTGAAAAACTGCTAGCTGAAGAAAAGGCCAAACTGGAAGAACAACTAAAAGAAGTTACTGTAAGTGTCTCTGYGTTATTAGGTTGCATACGTTATAAATTGTGAACCCAAGAGCCTCCATTGTGGGTTCTCAGTGCACTGTCTGGATACAGTTGTGAGATCCTCTTTAGTTTAATAAAACTCACAATTTGATAATTTTTTTAACTGATGTTTACATGTACTACAAGACCTGGGATGCATTCCTGGTCCAAAGTTAAGATTTTGGATAGTTTTTTTCCAGTTTCTGGATGGAATCAGACCTTTTCCAGCCTGAAAATTTGTTGCTGATTTTCACATAGGTTTTGCTCAGTGAAGTATTAATTTTTGGAAGCCATGGAAATGTGTGAGTGTGTCTCTGGTGTGTGCATTTGTGTGTAGAGTAGACTTTATGGAAACAGCTGCCAGCTTTCCAAAGGTCAGAGTTAATGATGCTTAGTTTTTATACAACAGTGTACTTATGCTGTGGTTAGGAAGTTTCAAACCTTGTTTGTTGGAGAGCCCTTCAGACATGAGGCTGAAGTGTCACGTCTGTTCTGTGGTCTTGTGTTCCTGCATTCTGTCCCATGCACAACTGTAGCAGAGTGTGAAGGATGCCCTGAGAGGTGCAGGTGGGCATTAAGTAAAGGCATTAATGAGTGCTTTATTTAAAATGTCTTTCTGGAGCATTTGAGACTTTGAGAGGTAGCCCAGAACCTTCTATAGAACCAGCACCTATGGATAATACATGGATTGAATTTGCTTTCTGTTGTCCTTCCCAAAGCTCTGCAGGACAATTTTGAGATGTCATTTTAATGTCTTTCTATCCTGTTGGTTGCCCAATKCAGCTCTACAGGCAGCTTGTTGACYATTTYTATTCAGTTTTGAGATTCCTGACTGGTATATGAAGGTCAGGTGTATTCAGGGTGGAACGAAGCCCACCATTCTCATTTAGGTGGTGAAGCACTCAGCCTGAATTTTTATCTTATTAGTTTTATTGAATTTCACATCTTAGTACATCTGCTGATAAATGGTCATATTTCCAGGAACAGAYCAAAACTTGACGTAAACAATAGAGGAGTTAAGATATCCTAGTTTGTAAAGGTGAGAAGACTGGAGGTTACTGTGTGGTATGTATGGAGAGGGAAGAGAGAGTTTGAAAGCCATTGCTGGGTTGAATCTGATTTGCTATAGTGTCAGTGTACCTCATGGCTGAGGAAGGATTTCTKGGAGCACACAGCAGAAAATGCAGAAATATCGGGTACATAGAACTTGATGTTTCTGTAGAGTGAAAAATGTCTTCCAGTTAATCTGTTGACAAATACTGGGATTCCTGAAAACCATCTGACTGCCTTTCCCTCATTTCTGTCTCTGTAAAGTGAAGCACACATTTGTCTTAGTAGGGGGGATGGCATGTTGTTTCAGGTTACCCTAAATGATGGATTTAGGCTATGAAACTGTTAAAAATGCTATTTTATACTGAATATGCTTGTGTGAATCATTGTCAGCTGCCCAGTCAGGAGGAATAAAATAAAATCTCTTCTGTTCCTGTTTTTTCTTCTTTAGGACAAGTACAGGCGTGCCTTGGCTGATGCCGAAAACGTGAGGCAAAGAAGCCAGAAACTGGTAGAAGAGGCAAAGTTATACGGTCAGTGGAGTCTCCTCTGGTGTTTGCTCAGTAAGACCCAGGAAATGCAATGCCTGGAAATATGAGGCTGACTGACCTTGCAGTATTGACAAGTTGTACTTCCCAGCGATTCTGACTACTTGGGTTAAAAAATGCATTTGAGACAGAGAGGTTTGAACARTTCCTCAGTTTGCATCAGAATTGTGACTATCTCCCCAGCCAAGGGCAAGACTTAAACTRCTGAAGTTAACAGCTTRACCTTCTGGGRGMTTTTTTTTGGTTGGTTGGTTTTTGGGGTTTTTTTGTGTTGTCATTTGTTTGGGGTTTTTGAGTGGGTTTTTTTTAGCCTTATACATTTGAATAACTGTTCTGTTGAAAGTCATCATTTCCAAATAGAAGTRAAACCTCTAAATGAATGGATTCTTTACAATGCTAGGAATGCACAATGATTGGCTGTGAGGAGTGCTAGAAGCACATCTTCCGTCAAGAGCCAGGCTACTAACATCTGATTTAGCTTTCTAACATTTTCAACACAAATCTGTAAAAGAGAAATTGTGTGCAAACGCTGCAGCAGAAGAGTGCTGTTTTATCCTGGTGTTTGACTGCCACTCTGCCTTGAAAAATGAGTTGCTCCTTTTCACCACACACCCTGCACAGGGTTAAAGTTTAATTCTGAATGCAGAAATTCTAATTTCTGAATACAGGGTCYTAGTTAATGGGTACTGTAAGAAAGTATTCTTTGCATTCTTTTTCATGTTTGAGTGTTTCATCCTGAGGTTGATTTGCGATAAGTATTGTTTCACTCATATTCTACTTAGTGCAAAGGACTTTTAGTCATGTCTGAGCTCAGAGATCCTACAATAAAAATTAATTTATCTTGAAAACTAARTTATCTRTAATCTGTAAAGTTTATTGCTTGTGCATGACTGCTTGTTTTGTTGAAGAAAGTCTCATTTCTGAGACTTGCATAAATTGAGAGTTGCAGTCACAGGTATTTGCARATTAAGTTATGCAATAAAAAACTGAACCAAACCTCCTTCTAAAGAATTRTTTGGTTTGATTCAGATAACTAGATAGCTGTCTTACTTATATTTGGTACAGTTCAGCCCCAACCACAACTCTCGTTTTTAGTTACCATGATTGTTTTTATCAATTTTTTTAACTACTTGGACATTGTTAGTTACTGTTATGTTAAGAGCTCGAGTGTCTGCAGAGTTGTGCAGTTGTTGGAGAGACCTTTTCCTGAGAAACTAGGGTCTTCTGAGAGAAGTGAGAACTAGCTGATCCCTACAGATCTTGTAAGGTGCTTCCACAGTTGTGGGGTTTTTGTGTTTAAACCAAAGACTTGTCCTCTGGTAATAGTCATGTCRCTTCTTGGTAAGGAAAAAAACCCATCTAAAATGTGAGCTAGAATTAAAAAGGCTGTCTCTGGCTGGAAAAAAAGAAAAAAAACATTAAAAACGAACCCAAAATCCAGTGCCATTTGTCCTTTGCTTAMCTCTATGTAGAAATGTGTGATTTTATTGAAGTCTTTCGATTTTTTCTTGATTGCTAGAGCCTTAAGTGAGATTAGTCCAGATTCTCTTAGTGTGAGCCAGAGAACAGCTTCAGAAGGACTTTGATTAACTTGGAAATTGCTCAGTATTTGCAAGGCACAGCTGCTGACTCTGAGGAGAGGTTTGTAGTGGGAYTGAGAGGTGCAAATTCTTTCATTGAAGGAAGAATCCCTGTTCATCTCTTGAAATCTCCATCAGTCTGATTACATGCTTTGTCTTCTGCAAATATTTTTATCACATCAGGTTAAAGGGTAGGAATAGGGCARCGTAATGCTTTGAATCCAAATCTTTTAGGTGAATCCCAAGATGAGAGAGACATAAGGAAATTACATTAAGCTGTCTGAAAGTTTTGGTAACTTTGGTAAGAATTTTACTTGTCGTTGTTGGGTCATTAGCATAACTTYAGCTCTTTTGAGTTGAAATAACATTTTGTTCCATAGAAGTAGAGGAGATGGTGTGGATTTYGATATCTGTAATAATTCTTTATTACCATCCAAAACTAGAAAGGACATTCTACCCCAATTGAAGACAGTATTGCATCTTAAGAGTCTGAGAGTACAGGTTATTGCTGTAGGTTTTGGGGGGGTTGTGAGGTTGTTAACACTTGTTTTCCTCAGTGAACTAATCCCATTCTCTCCTCCTTTATACATTTTCAGGGATCCAGAGCTTCTGTAAGGACTTACTAGAAGTTGCAGACATTTTGGAGAAAGCAACAGAAAGCGTTCCAAAAGAAGAAATTAAAGATGAMAATCCTCACTTGAAGAGCTTATATGAAGGTCTTGTGATGACAGAAGTACAGATTCAGAAAGTGTTTAAAAAGCATGGCCTGATCAGACTGAATCCTATCGGAGCCAAGTTCGATCCCTACGAACACGAAGCGCTGTTCCACACTCCCGTGGAAGGGCAGGAGCCTGGCACTATTGCATTGGTATCCAAGATTGGCTATAAGCTGCACGGGCGCACGCTGCGGCCTGCCCTGGTGGGTGTTGTGAAAGACGCTTAGCTGCTCAAGCTGAGAGTTTCAAATGCCATACAACTATTAAACAGCTGGATGGTTTTTCTCTTACACTATGCTTTCCTCGTTCCTGTGCACCCTGAGAGGTTTAAATGAGTTGGTTGAGGTCTCCTAGTGAATATGAAGTAAYGGATGAAATTCTGCTTAGTGGCCTTCAGCATCACTGTTCCATAAGCTCTTCTTTGGTGTGAATTACAAGAGCCATTAAGCCCTCTAATGTTTTAGATTAGATAATGTTTTTTACAACTTTTGCTCCTGAGAAGGTGCATTAAATTGGAAAGAATGAAATGCTCACAAGAATTKTGCAATTTCAAGTTTATCACTGTGTGTATAGATTGAAAATCCAGATARTGGTTTAAACACTTCCTTTGCTTTTGTAGAATCTCATATTGCAGAAGGGGGTGAAGTAGTTCGAAAACCTGATTTCTGCAAGCACCCATCAGCTTTTACACACTGATGTGATAAATGCCCTTTTTTGTCCATTCAGAAATAATCTCAGCAACTGAAACCCGTGTGAATTCTGAACTGTAAATAAATGGCAATGGAGATTAGATATCTTTCGTAATTGCTTAACCTTTTAGTCCTGTACTAACAACTCAAGAAAACCATCTAATACTTGTATGGCATTGAAGAATCAAYAGAATTTATCCAATCTCTGGATTTTTAATTTAATGTTATATAAATTGGTTTAAACAATTTTGATAGTCTTGTGACTTCTAGCTTTGCAATCAGTTTGTTAAGCAAACTGTAGTTACAACCCTGCTGGGAGCCAGAACACCCAAAGAAGTGAGTTGCTGAGAGTTTGGTRTATGATTTCTTTTAGACTKAYAWAWA